GCTTAATTGTAAATTTACTTGCCAATTTACTTCCGTGGACTGTAGAGCTTGGAAGATTCCCGTTCTCCTAATTTGTTAAATATTTGGGGTATCTTAATTGTGCTATTAACTGACTTAGCAGAGCAAGGCTTTCCTTCTAGACCTGAACTGTCCAGCGAAGCAGCCATTAAGCCACATGTGGCTATTATGCACCTACAGTCTGGCTAATCCTCACTGAGCACAGGGGGCGCCATACTTGTAAAATATACACCAGATTTCTAAGATTTAGGATTAAAACAAGATATGTAAAAATTTTAATCACTTTTATATTGATTTCCTGTTGAAGTTAATATTTTGATGATGTTGGAAACATGATGTATACCATCAAGCTTTATTTCTTCTACACTTTTTAATTTTTTTAATGTGCCTACTAGGAAACTTCAAATCTACAGCTTGCATTATCTCTGTGTTGGACAGCATTGGTATAAATAACATAAAGGAAAAGCTCCCAAGGCATTAATAGATTCTAATTATTATCTGTGAAAGATGAAAATAAAAGGAAAAGTGTCCTTAATGAATCTGAAAAACCATCCTTGCAAACCCAGGGGAAAGGAACTGGGCAGAAGTGCAAGGGGCACACCTGGGTCCAAGAAAGGAACAGCGAAGGCAGGGCAAATACAAGTGTGGCAAATACTAACCCAGAAACCAGGAAACCACAGCACCACCTAATGCCCTTGCACAAATGGCCTCACAACCGAACGAGAGGTGTAGGAGTTCCAGAAGAACAGCTGCCACATTCAGAAAAATATGCAAAGTGGTGAAGTACCCAACATTAGTGCATAAAATATTAAAACTGATGCAGAAGGAGGGTGCCGCTCTCACAGGAAGTCCCGCCTCGGGCCCTGCCCCCTTCCAGCCTACCCCTCCCCCCTCCCTAGGTTTGGACTGACCCCAGCTCCTTTCACACTGGTTGGTGGGAGCCAGTGACCTCCTCTGAAGGGCACTGGGGCCTCAACGTTAACATGCAACTCACTCTAGATGGTTTTGAGATGTCATTTCTCTTTGAAGCTTTAGCATCTCTGTTTTGTCTCTTTCAGCTCTTCCTCTATTTTGCTTTCTCAGCGCCTGAAAGTCTCTGCTCAACCACAGGGATGGGCATGAGGCACCCTCCATCCTCTCCTGTCACCCACCCTGGCTGTAGGATCCCCGTTTCTTCACCGCTCATAGCCTATGTAGTTCCGTCAACTCAAAAAAATACATGTTTAAAGAAATTTATCCAGCAGTCGTGATTATGAAAGAAACACAGTTGTAGGCAGCTTTATTACAATACTTCATCAAGGGACAGAATTACTTCTGTCTACACTCAAGGGAATGAAAATTAATATGGTAGCAAGAAAACTTTTAAACAACATTACTTAACAGTAATTAACAATAAGAAACTAGTCCAATGGATACGAATGGTTAAATAACTTGTGATAAATTTATAGAGTGGAATTACTCTACAATTATTAGAAATCATGTAAACAATTATTAAAACAATTATTAGAAATTATTTTGAAGACTAATGACAAAAGAAACACAATAAAAATTAATAAAGATACACAACTATTTACAATATGATCTGATTCTAATTATGTAAAATAAAATAAACAGGCTATGGTAATAGTGGCTACCTTGGTGAGATGACAGGTAATTTTTTCTCTCTACGTATAGTTTCTGTGTTTTTAAATTTTTTACAATGAATATATATTACTTTTATAGTCAGAAAAAATATATACATAAGAGAAACTATTGTTCTCTAGTTTCTAATTTTAATACTAAGTCCAATTTTAAAAAAATACCAACAAAAGCTTATCTTTCATGGAAAAAAATCATACCACCTCCAAAGATGATACATAATACAATACAGACTTTTTATTATACACTATAACCCTTTGTCGGCGAGATTAGTTATGCCTGATATGATCGTGGTTTACCTTGCCTGATATGATACTGGCTTATCTATAAAACAAACATTATGATCATCCACAACTCCAGTGTCATAGAAAGACCCCTGTTTGAAAGTCAGCAAACCTTGTTTAAGGGGCATTAAAAGATAAGACCTCATTAGCCGTTTCTAGAAATCAGTAGCATGTTTCAGTATGAAAGTTCAAAGCAAAACTTCTTCAAAGCTAGTTTCACAGACGTTGCAGCAAAAATAGAAAATAAACCTCAGCAATCACAGAAATAAATCTTCCAGTGTTATCAGACCAAAAGCTTTGGAACCTATGAAGAATTTTTAAAAACTTGATTGAAAGAAATCAGGGCACTTTCTAAAGAACAGAGAGTGAAGTCACTCTTCATAGGATGAGTGATTATTTCGTTCTTACAAGCTCAAGAAAGGTCACATCATTCATTGCAAGGAGTGCTCTAAAATCAAAGGGCTTCTAATCAAATTAATCATACTGTTGCTCATCATAAGTACTTTTTCCTCCTTCCCTCCCCCTAGAGCCACACTGTATAATGCACTGCATGATCGGTTTAGGCTTCCTGAAGAACCCAACATCTCATGATTCATATTTATTTTTCTGCAAACATTTAAAGCTCTCTATATACAGACCCTTGACAAGGCCCCTGTGACACAAAGCCCTCAAGGATCGCAGGGCCTGGAGAGCACCTCGAAAGTCACAGAAAATAAAATTCTACAATTTGCTTAAGTACATCATTAACCAGATATGTAAATTAATATTAGCAGCATTTGATAGAAACATTGCTTTTAAAAGGAATGTCCCAACCTAGAGACCGCTGTCATCTCTCCTATATTCTGCCCATTTCTTTTTTAAGGGAAACGTCGTTCAACAGAGCCCATTAGGCCAAATGATGGCAGTGTAGAGATAGTTACTTGGGACTTAATTTTTTATTCCCACATTTGCAATTATTACTTCAAGATAAACGCTACATTTAGGAACGGGCACTGATCTTGCCATTCAGTTTCTATAAAAATGTTACAGAATGGTTCCCACTTCCCATACATTTGTTACAAAATGTGTTGCAGAAATGATGGCCCCCTGACAATTTTTGATCACCCTCCAAGAAAGAACAAATCCAGGCACTATTCACTTTATGCAGTGTTTTACAATCACCTATGCCCATTTCCAAACCTCTGTCATATGCCACAAAATTTTTTCCTACAAGTCAGATAAATGAAATTCACAGTTTTACAACACTGATAAGTGCAAATGATTAACAGCTGATGTGTGTGCATAATCATTTCAAAATAAATGAACAAGATAATGTACGGGACTACTTGTAACTTCTTCTGCCTTTCTTAGAGTAGTAAAAAATCAGAGAAAGAGAAACAATAAAAGCAAAAAGTAGGAAAGCTATGAAAGCCAGTAAAGATTTACGGGTATGAAAAAAGCTGCATTCAGTGCACAGGGTGAATTCCTCTGGACAGAATCTCCCCGGAGTTCCAGCACCTGGGAAGCCATTGTTGTCAATCATTTTCCTGTAATGTTCCACCGACGGTTTGGGTTCAAACTGATTTGCAGCATAATGATAGAAGCCAAACTTCGGAGCTGTGCGATCATTGAATGAATAAGCAAAGTATCCACAAAGATTGACACCATCCAATATGTAGGCTAGAAAAACAAAAGAACAAACTAGTTATTAAAATTTTTCTGCCCACAGCACTTCACTTTTACACAGTCTTGGTGCATCCGGGAAAACTAAATTAGATTTAATCACAGAAGACTTCTTTCATGCGAGGTACATTGAGCTACATTTAACGTAGAAGGTTTTATATAATTAAACCCACTATGATGTACTTGGGCTAAATATTTATGCACATGAAGGAGGTAAGATTGCTGTGAAGCCATCTGAAATGGGAGACCAGAAAGTCCATACTTTCATGGGCCCCAGCAGGTGCTAAGCATTTTCCCTTCTTTGACTAAGGTTCCGGACTTCTGGCTAAGCTCCGTTATCCTGAGAGGAAAATACTAACTCTCTTTTGGACTTTTTCAGTGTGGCAAGGAATGGATAGCAAGCACTTTGCTTCGAAGGTGGCAGTGGGTGTATAATAGAGTCTCATGCCCTTCGGTGACATAAGCTTCAAGGAGCTTCTGTTTCTGGGGCTCCTTACCTTTCAGAGCTTCGTTTACGTAATTTTGAATGTAATACACCCTCAACTTGTCTTGAGCTGCCATTGGATCATCATCTATGCCGTTGGATATTATATACATGGGGACGTCTCCGTACTTGAACTTCAGCCAGTTGAGAACTTTGCGTAAGCCCCAGGGCACGACCGCCACCTGACTGGGAGAGTTGAGCCAGGTGATGTCCGTCATTTCCTGCACCTCCAGGTAATCATTGTATTTCATCGGATCTTCTTTTTCCCAGTCTGCAAGGATGGTGGTGTAATGGCTTAAAGCCAGGAAGTCGAAGGAACCCCGGATTAGCTTCTTCTCATCTTCAGTGAAATAAGGTAGAAGGAAATTGTTCCTTTGGGTGAGCCAGTCCCTCATCACACGTGGGTAATCCCCAGAGCCGAAAATGGGCTCTGCCAGCCAGCCAAGCTCAAATTCCAAAACCCTCTCCGCCACTTCTTTGTCCTTCTGGGAGAAGGGGCAGGCGGGCTCTACCCAGTCGGCCTGCAGGGCAATGGAGATTTTCCCTTTCTGAGAGGCGCGGAAGTGTTCGTCGTACACGCGCCAGGCCAACGCGTGCGCCTTGAGAAGGTTGTGCCCGGCGCTGTAGGTCATGTTCCGGGTGTGCGGCTCGCCCACCGTGATCCAGAACTTGACGTGGTGGCCGAGGTGCTGGAAGCACAGCCGGGCGTACTCCGCGAAAGCCCGGGCGGTGTGCGGGTTCTCCCAGGCCCCGTGCCGGGCCAGGGGCCGCGGCAGCCCGTGGCGCGGGGCGGCGGGCCGCCAGAGCGCCACCACTGGGGTGACGTTGGCGCGCACCAGCTCGCCCGCCACGCAGCCGTAGTAGTGCAGGACCGTGCGGTTCGGCTGCGACGCGCGGCCCAGCGGCAGGATCAGCGCCCAGTCCAGGGAGAAGTGAAAATGGGAGACGTGCATCTCCTGGAGTAAGGCTACCTGGCGCCGGATGGCAGCGAAGTCCACGCAGTAGGACTTCCGCTTCTTGGTCACCACGCCGTCCACCTTAATTAGCCTCTTACTGTGGTGGACATCCCACAGGTAAACGTTCGGGTCGGTAAACTGAGACAGAGTGGTGTCCACCTGCCGGGAGGGGATAAGCATTAGCTTCACCGGCCAGCCTGGACGCGCGATCCCGCGCACTCCCTCCCCTAGCTCTGACTCTTGAACGGTTACTTTAACGTTAAAAAAAAAAATTTTTTTTTAATTTTTTTTTTAAATCTGAAATTTTTTATCATTTTAGATGACAGTGTTTTCCACACACCTCTCGTCTGTGTTAAGCAAGCAAAGTACTTTTGAACGTTTGTATTTTAATGTTTAAAAATTACTAATAATATGAGACTCCCAAATTGAAAAAAAAAAAAGACAAAAAGATAAAGCCTAAAATCTGAGTGAGTTAGAGTCAGAAAATGCAAAATTACTAATAATATGAGACTCCCAAATTAAAAGAAAAAAAAAAGACAAAAAGATAAAGCCTAAAATCTGAGTGAGTTAGAGTCAGAAAATGCAAAATTGTGTTTAAACTTAAATCGTGGGGACACCTGAGTGACTCCGTCTGTTAAGCATGGGAGTCTTGGTTTGGGCTTAGGTCATGATCTCATGGTACCTGAGTTCGAGCCTCGAGAGGGGCTCTGATTGGGATCCGCTGTATCTCCCTCTCTCTCCCTCTCTCTACCCCTTCCCTGCTCTCTCTCCCAAAATATTTGTTTATTTTGAGAAATTTTAAATTTATAAATTTCATAAATTTTAAAATATATTAACTATAATATATCAATATATTATATATAATATAACTTAAATATAATATAATGATAAGTTATTATATATAATATAGTTTTAAATTTATGAAATTTATAAATGTAAAATTATTTAAATAAATAAGTAAATAAAATTAAATCATACTTCTTAAAATCATGTTCTAAACTGAAGTTTGCTGTAGGTAGAAAACATGCTAAAACTCCGTGACTGTTGCCTTTTATTGGCTTTAGTGTCAAAGACAGGATTTAACAAATTCAATCTGATGGTAAAAGCGATAGTGAAGGTGGAAAAGAGGAACGGCAGTTGTCATTTACACATACCGGGCTATTTTCACATAGCTTTTACGTCTTTCTAAATTACTTTTCTGTGATGATCATGATAGTAACGGTTGGCAATCACCTGATCCATAAGCCTCCAAAATGAAAAACAGGTATTTAGGAAAAGCAGACACATTGTAAAACTGAAATCATAAAATCCTCCCTCCACGTGTAAACCATGGAGGAAAATGCAAACTGAAAAGTCCATCCCAAGGAACCACTGGACTGAACCAGTTTTCTCCTCAGAAACACTCCCGGTCAAAGGGGTCCCTCGGTTTGACCCTCTGTCCGCAAGCAGGGGTCACACTCCGCTTTGGGATCTCTAGCAGAAGTTTCGCTGCATTTTGCGGGCCGGGGTTCCTCTGGAGGGGTGGGTGCCGTGTTTATAAGGGAAAGCAATAAAACCCCAGCGTGTCAGAGGGAAACGGCTTTCTCTGGAGAACCGCCTCCTGCGGATCACCCACGCTCGCGTTTGGCCTGGTCCGGTGGGAATGCCGGGAGAAGAGTTTTTCCACCGTGATGCACCCGCAAATCTTGTTTCCTCAGCTTTGCAAGAGAAAATATTTGCATGCTCTTTTGAAGTGAAAGTGTTCATAGCTTGAAGGATTTCTCTGGCTTATTTTTACAGAGCTTTGAGTTGACTACACTAAATGTATACATTTTCTACCATAATTTTCCCAAAACAACAGTTTTTATTCAGTGCATCTGCAAATAAATACGAGAGACTAAGGTACAATTTCTGGGGGGCAGGGGCATCTGTTCCTTGAAACTACAGGACGCTTAGGAATAAGGGCTTAGGCACAATTCTAGCTAACTTCCGTGAATTTGTTGGCTTTTCTTAACAAAAATGAAAAAATAAAGTGGGGACTTTATTGTTGTATCTGCCCAGGGTTGCTCTGCTCTTTCAAGGAAAGAGGTTGTCCTCTTAAAACTTTCTCACTCCTCACCAGTTCCCAAGGCAAACACCGTCGTGGGAGGGGAGGGGCTCCCTCCAATGTCCGCCCCCCTCCCTGAGAACGCGTATCTGCACAGAGATGCTGCTGGAAACTTCTTGTCCTGGAAGACTGAACCGGAAACTACTTGCCCAGGCGGGGGCTACTATTAGACATCAGGGCAGAGCATGAGCCCTCAGTGACAAGGGGCACAGAGCCCAGCAGGGAGTGGGGCCTGGAACAAGGTCACTGAAAGAGAACAAACACCAGCGACCCACCCTCCCAGAGCACAAATACAGGGGAGGAAGGGGGGAGGGGGTGCCCATCTCACTAGCACCACTTCTGTACCTCCAAACCCTATTTGAACCCACTGTGGATCCCACCGGAAGGAGAGAAATTAGGAAAGGGAGGTTCAAGAGCTAGGGCTGAGGGAGGAGAGAGGAGGGGGGCAGAAGACCCCAAACCCAACAGGGCAAAGCTGGCTAATACATGTCCCTCAGTTGCCTTTTAAATGTAAGAAGGGATTTAAGTCTGAGACTTAAACCTAAGTGGGTTTTTTTTTTTTTGATGTTTATTTATTTATTTTTGAGACAGAGAGAGTGCATGCACAATCAGGGGAGGGGCAGAGAAGGAGAGGGAGACACAGAGTCCAGAGCAGGATCCAGGTTCTGAGCTGTTGGCACAGCTTATTTATTGTTTATTCATGACCTGAGCTGAAGTCAGACGCTTAACCAATTGAGCCACCCAGGGGCCCCAAAACTAAGTCTTTTAAACTGAGGTCTTCAAAAGACCTAAGAGTAATACAACCCAGCAAAAAAATGTATGAAGGAATGTGTTAATTATTTATTATTAATTAATTATTTCCTTATAAATAAAAGACTGCCATTGGATGTTTACAAGAAAACGGCAACTCATTTCAACTACAAGATCCTCCCTCACTTCCAACCATTCTTCCAGATACTTGTTTTGAACTGAAGGGTAACAGAATATGCCACCCCAAAATGTAACTGTAGGAGTTCAGGGCCTGCCACCCCAAAATAGGCCCCTCTGGTGTCCTGATTATTTTGAGCTGTAGGCACTCAACCAATAGCAAATGCAGGGAAAGGCTTTCTCTGAACTCCCCTTACATCCCTAAAGACAGATGCTCCAAAAGGAACTCTATTGTCCTTTCCTGGGAGTTTTATCACCCAGGGAAGATCGAGTCTTGTCACAGGAGACCAGAGGCCACCACAAGACCAAGGCAGACTTTTTCAGAAACTCTTGTGGCTCCCATCTATTCTTCCAAGGGCCCATTCACCTTTCCTAAACATTTTTTATTCTTCCCTAAGAGATCTATATCTTACCTCTGCTTCCAGCTTTTTCTATTAAGATGGTATTTAAGCCTGAATTCTAAGTCACCTCAAGGACTTAGTCATTTTTCTCTGAGTATCTCTCATGTATATATCAGGTACACATGTTAATAAACTCTTGTTTGTTTTTCTCTTTTGAGTCTGGCTTTAATTATAGGGAGGTCTCAGCAAAGAACTCAGAAAGATATAGGGAAAGTTACTTTTGCTCTTCTACTGTACCAATGAGTTAGCTAGAAGCATCCAACAGCATGCTAAACGCCATTGTTTGTCTATGGATACCACACTTTGTCTCTGTCTCTCTTTTTAATGTTTATTTATTTATTTTGTGAGAAAGAGAGAGAGAGAGAGCGCAAGTGATGGAAGAGCAGAGAGAGAGAGAGGGAGAGAGATAATCCCAAGCAGGCTCCAAGCTGTCAGCACAGAGCCCTACACAGGCTTAAACTCACCAACCGTGAGATCATGACCTGAGTGATCATGACCTGAACCAAAATCAAGATTTGGATGGTTAACAAACTGAGCTGCCCAGGCACCCATGTCTCTGTCTTGATCTTTATTTTCACACTCAGACTGTTTCAACAACACCCTATCACCACCCTGCTCACTTAACACCATGCTCTGTGCACTCTATTATTTGTGTATCCATCATTTTCAGTAGACCTCTTTGGGTTTTTTGTTTTTTGTTTTTGAGAGAGGGTGCCAATAAGTGAGGGCAAAGAGAGAGGGAGAGAGAGAGAATCCCATGAGGGACAGAGAGAGAGAGAGAAAGAAGGGCTCACCCGAGGGGGGGCTTGTGTTCACCGGAAGTGGGGCTCGAGCTTACCCTATGCGGGACTCTAAATCACAAGCCGTGAGATCATGACCTGAATCAAAGTCAGATGCTTAACCAACTGAGCCACCCAAGGCACCCAGCAGTAGGCTTCATTGAAATCAGGGGTCAAGCTTAGTCATCTCAGTGCGCATTCCTCTCAACTACGCAACCCCAGCAATTAACACAGGGCTTTCTACACGCTAAGCATCCAATAAGAGCCCACTAAAATATTCCATCAAAGTCTGAAAAACAAATTCCTTTAAAATTGGGAAGTTAAAAATAATATTGAAGATTAAATAGTAAGTGCTCAATAAATATGGGTTGACCATTTTGAAGAACTTCCTTACCATGTCAGTAACTAGTTCTAGAAATGAAATTTCAAGCAGTGAACCATTGGAGCAAGAGTTTTCACTGCTTGACATGCTTTTGCAACAGGGTGCAGTTAAACCCCAGGAGGGCTCTGTCTGCTGTTCCTGCCTCAGGCTCAGCAGCTCCACTGAGATCTCCGAAAATTTGAAGTTCTTTGTCATATCTTGTTTATGGAAGAACTCAACTGCTGTAAAAAGCACCCAAAACCACTGTATTAAAAGGGAGTATTTTTATCTTCTTACTATCTTTTCAGATATTAAATATTCATATATTTAAGTTTGTTCCTCCTCTGGGACTGACTTAAAGTGCAAGATGAAGCTAAGAAGATTTTTGGAGAGAAGGGTGCAATGTTTCAAATTGTGCCCTTAATATTCTCATTAAGGAATCACGTTTGGCCTGAAGAATGGGCAATGTGTCATGACAACCTAATAAGGAAGCACTACTTACTAGCGATAGGGCTTGGTGAGACTGCTGATTGGTTTTGTCAGCTGACTTACTTGAATGTAGTTGTCAACAATTCCCCAAGCAAAGTCACAGGGAAATGTCCCTTCTAGAGGTTGATTTTCAGGTAAAGGAGGAAAGCCATTTTTCTCTATCAGCTTTTGGTAGAACAAGGCTGAAGATTTCGGCAACAGTTTCTTATCCTGGCTTAGAAAGTCGACATAGAAGAGTCCACGCCTGATGCTGTAGCCTCTGTGCCACTCAAAGCCATCCAGAAGGGACCAGGCTGTGTACCCGATGACGTCCACCCCATCCAGCCTAATGGCTGCAGAGAGAAGAGAGGAGAACAACGTGACCCCTAGCTGGGCACTGGCCTCATGATTCAAGACCATTTGAGGAGTTTACTACTTATGAAAATAAGTTACGTATAATGGTTATTGTTTGGTAAACCAATGATGTTTCTTACTAATAAAAGGCTGTCACACCTGGATAATTCTACAAATAAACATTTTCACCAACAGCCTTATCTCCAATATGTTTTTACTTAGAATATTTTATTTCCAGTAAGTGGTCTTTGGGCCTGAAATGATGGTCTTGTTCCAATCCTAGCATTGTGCTTGCTGAAATAAGTGAATAAAATCTTTAAAGGCATAAGCTACTTAACATTTTTTTCAGAAAGTGTTGATATTCTTTTTTCTTTAAAAAGTCTTTTCTTCAGTGCAAATAATAAAAACCTAAAAACGTGTACAGAGATCCAGATGTCCTGGGATTTACTAATCCTTAATAGAATCTAAAAATCTAGAGTGGTAACTCTGAAAGTCAAGTTATTTCACACATTATAACCCAGTTTCTCATTTACAAAATGAGTTTAAAAATAAATTTAACTTGCTCAAGTCCCCAGATGAGTAAGGTGTTACATAAATGCATTTCTACTATTGCCAAAATGAATTTCTTCATTACAATTAAAATCTATAAACTCATATAGTTTATTACTGACCATCTGAAAGATTTTCCTCTGACTTCTGGCAAGAAATCAGAATTTTATCCCCAATCCTACCTTTTAAGGTTTCCATTATGAATTTTTTGAGATAATACATGTATTTGGCATCATCTCTCTTGGTGGTCCCTGAGACAAACCAGCCATTTTCCACAATAAATATTTGAGGGTGGTTATATTCAAGGTCAATCCAAGAAAGCAATTGCCTCAGGCTGGGAGATTCTAACTGGCGGAACTTCATGTGGGGGTCCAATAGTTGAAAACTCAAGGTTGGTCCAAAAGAAAGAGCAAAGAAGTCAGCTGTTCCCTTAATGAACTTTTTCTCAGATTCAGTAAAATCAGGCAGAAGAGATGAAAGATTATTCTTCATGCTCTCAGGATAGTCACCATCAATAAATATGGGTTTGGCAAACCAGCCTAGTACAAAGTCAAGAGACTTTTGACATTCTTTGATGCTGTGGTCGGTCATTCTTCGAGGATTGATCCAGTGGGAGCTTAGGGCGATGGAGACCTGGCCTCCCTGAGTTGGACGGAAAGAAGTATTGTAGAGATGCCAGATTTTGGCATGAGCCTATAAAAAGAAAAGCCATGGTCAATTTATCTCTGATTGTGAGAAGAAATATATAATACATATCTGAATATTCAACTCTATCGGTGTCTGTTTCTCCTCAAGCCTAACCTAATGAATTACCCCACAATGTGAAAGTCACCTGGAAACAATAAATTATTTCAGGGGTAGGTCAGCCCACAGTGAGCTGCTACCATGTCTGGAATTATTTCTATTGTTTTTCAATAGCCAGTGGAAAATGTGAATTTCTTGCCTTGAAGTTACGATTCATACTTTGAGAAGTTAATGAAATAAGAATTCGTTATAATATCTTACTACTTAATTGAATTTGGATTATGTAATTTTTAATTAATAGGCTTCATGAAAAGAACCAATCCTGCATTATGATCACACCAGGAATTTCTAAATAGGATTATATATATTTTTATCCTAAGAGACTCAAGGTGACTCAAATTGTTAGAGTCAATTTAATATTTTGTATTCATCTTTCACAACTAAAATTCTGACACATGTTCCCTTTATTCTTAATTTTTAGTCTTCCCTAAGAAAAATCGGCACAATAAAGTAAAAGGCCAACTCTAATATCTAACCTCGGCCCACCCTCTGGAACTCTGGAACAGTGTTGACTTCCCACAGGACCCAGAAGTGTGAGGTATGAGCCAAGAGCAAAAATCACCCAAATTCAGCTTTGAGGAGATCAGATGTCCATTATTAGTCAGCACTCAGCTGGGAGTTTCCTACAGCAATGAAATGGGCTTTGCTTCCTTAAGATTAACTTTCTACTCCCATAAAATCTTACTGACTCCTGATATCTCATTTTCACTTGTTTTCGTTGTATTTATGAAGAACAGTGAAGATTACAGAGTTTTTCCTCCGTTATTTGAGATAAGTTTCTCTTCACTTCTGAATTCCTTGATTTACTGTCCCTATTTTTCTACAAATACAAGAGGCTGTTTATCAGCATTTTACTCTCCTAATATATCCTCCTTGAAAACCCCATTCCAGTTCTCTGTTTGACTCATATTCTCCAAAATGATCATGCCAATTTTGTCCCGCTCCCTGGGCCTGAAGAAGCTCTTTCACTCAGTATGCCAAATATGCTCTTCATTTTTCCTAAATGTTCTTCTGTGGTTCATTTCAGTGCAGGTGTCCAAGAATGATCTTATCACTGTTCTTATGAGTTCAGCCAAATATTTCAGTGGAATAAAATAGTTTATATCTAACTTTCATTTTTAGTTTCTTAGTAAATATCTATGATGTTTCATTCCACTGACTATATTTTTTCATGATGTGAAGCAGCTACCCTTAGGCTAAGGAGGAAAAGGGGAATAAAAGTTGATCAGAAGAATAGTAGCATTTGCCCATGTGGTTCAAGAAAGGGGGGCTCAGTCGTGTTAGGCTGCTGGCTTTGTGACGTCCCCCACCTTTATCTTCCTCCCATCTAGCACCGGATATCTCTCTTCCCCATTGTCAAGAAATCTCATCATGTCATTTAACAATTAAACAGAAAAGAAAAGGAACAGTTCAGGCTAGTCCTCAGGATGTGAGACCAGGGCAGTTTCCTAACTTGGCCCAGTTGAGGCCCATGACACTCATGTTCTAAGCCTAATAGACACACCCAGACAAACCAAGAGCTGTGATGGAGAGAAATAAGGGGCCAGGCAAGAGTGAGAGCAGTCCAAGAGCTTCCTAATCTGGGTCAGTTTTGCAGGTAGCAAAAGTAGGAGTCCTGCCATAGAATGGCCTGCACAAATGGACCACTCCTCTAACCTTGGATACTTTGACACGGTGCAGAGGAAGTCTGGCAAGGAAACCAATGGCCTGAGGCACATGGAAGTACACACATAGTCTCTCATGTCAGATAAAATTCCTGCCTTGTCACATTTTTGTGTGCCTTTAACCAAACTACCTACCCTGGGCAGGTGAGACTAACTTTCTTGTGTCTTTCACAGGGATGTTATGAGGATTAAATAATTTACAAAGAACACCTAACACAGACTTTGCATATGGTAAGGTCTCCATGAATGCTTATTCCTTCTCTCCATAAAGGATGAACAGGCAAAAAAAAAAGGAAAAGAAAGCATAGCAGGTCCAGGGAGTACCACCTGCTAAGGGATTCTGCCTAAGAGCAGCCAAGTGAGATAGTGGTACCACCTGGGGTTTGGATTAGAAGAGCCTTAGGTTGGGGTCCCATCTCCCCCATCCATTACCAGTTTGAGCCTCAGGTACTTCTCTGTTCCAAAGGGAACAGCATCTATTCTCCTGCAAGGATATGATGGGAATCAAATGATATGATGCAAGTATCTACTAAGTAGTTGATTATTTTAGAGAAGTATATACTAGCAGCATTGGGAAGTTGATGGTTAATTTTATGTGTCAATTTGACTGGCCTAAGGGACCCCCAGATAGCTGGTAAAATGCTTGTCAAGGGTTTAGCTAAACGATGCCATGGTAATCCCACCTCAGTAGCCATTTTGTTTAGCCAGGCAGCCTTGAGGGACCTTAAACTGACACCAGCCCCTCTTGCAAGTGCATGCCCTAGACAGCAGCCTGCAGGGTCACAAGCAAATGTAAGGTCCTGACATGACCTCCCTGACAGCACTTGTGATCCACAGGCTTCCTTTGCTCCCAGCACCTATGCCTTATGGGTCCTTTAGATAGACCCCATGGGGCTTACCAAAATCCTTTTCTTTGGTTTGAATTGAGCAATCTGGCCCTTGCCTAGGAACCTTAATGAAGACATGTATTTAGGTCCTGCCTCTCTCTTTGTCTGCACTCTGCCTTGACCTCCCCATGTGGCCCCTTCAGGCTGAGTATTTCCTCCAGGATCTGTGAGTAACAGACTTCTCTACTTCAAGTTCTCTTGTGCTCTGTTGTTGAACTGAGGCTCACCATACAACACTGTGCTCCACTTAACAAATGTTAATTTAACAAAACCACAACATTATTTCTGGGTGTGTCTATGAGGGGATTTCTGGAAGAGTTTAGCATTTGAATTGGTAGGCCGAATAAAGCAGACCACCCTCGCCAATGTGGGTTGGCATCATCCCATGCATTAAGGGGCTGAAGAGAACAAAAAGGGGAAGGAAGGGTGAACTGTTTCTCTGGAGGACACAAGCTAATATAGAAAGCTTCTTGGATGTCACTTGTCTTAACCATCACCCCATTCCCCAAACCCCTACTTGATTTGTTATTTGAGTGCTCTCCAAATCAGTCCAACTTGGTGGTCATTCCACACATGGCATCTTTTCCAGGAAGTGCCCCACCCCCAACCCCACCCAACCTGCCACACTGGGCTACATGTCCCTCCTCTGGGTGCCCTCTGAGTCTCAGGCACACCTCTCTCGCATCTACTTCGGGTAATGATGCCTTCCTCCCTAAACTGAGCTCCCTGGGTGTTCCCTCATCCCCTCCCTGACACATGGAGGCCCCATTGTCTGTTACACTGAACTTAACCCTGCTTCATTCACCTTCATTCCATGTTCTGATGGTAGATTTAAGTAGTTGACTGCTGTAAGGCAAGGCATGGGAAGGCCACCACTTTAGGTGTGGCAACAAATAAGGGCAATTAAGAGGGGCACATGGTTATGTTTAGTTTTGCATTGCTTTCTAATTATTCCAGGTACATTAATCTTAAAAATTTATTTTAAGACCGAGATTTAATAAAGCTAGTGACAAGGATTCAGGAAAGTAATTAAGGGTGTATGTAAGAATGTTCATCTATGCCCTATTTCCAATAGCAAAATATTGAAACAACGGAAATGTCCATATTCAAATACATTCACACCCATATATGCATATTTTAACACATTATGATATGACTAAAGATATACTACTATTCAGACATCATAAATAATACAGAAGGACGTCCATTTACATGTTAAAACTGTTTGTATAATAACAACTGAACAGAAAAGCAGGCTACAAAGCAGTAAGTAGAGTTTAATAGTATCTTTTATTAAAGGAAAACATGTACATAAAAATCTGAAATGATTTATAAGTTGTTAAAAAGAGGTTTTATAGCAGGCTTATGGACAGTATAATTCTCTTCAGTTTGCTTATCTCTATTTTTTTCATTTCCTACCATACACATGCATTGCTTCAGAGCAATATATTGTATTGTTTTAGAGGTGGTTTTTTTTTTTAACTTAAAATTTAAAAAAGGAAAATAGCCATAGGAGCTGGATGGCTGGCCCTACTGAACTGTCCATAATAGTAATTTGAAAGCCATCATCTAAATAACCCCTGCCTAATTGTTCTTTGTGGTGCCTTAGGGTCTCCTCCCCAAATCCTGAGTCCTGGGTGTACTGAACCCTCCACGAAGGTCTGAAATCCCCTAGGCTTCCATGCATGGGTGCATCTCTCTCAAGTTCCCAATCCCTCCAACTTCAGCCCACTTCAAAACTCAGCTCAGACATCACCCTTCTGGGAAGTCTTCCCTCACATCTTCCCTCTCTCTGCCCTAAAGTGTCCACTCCATGTATCTCCACAGCTGCCCTCTGTCAAAGACCTTCACCATATTGTGTTGCATTCATTCAAGTGTCTAGATTGTAGGTGTTTCCAAGGCATTGACTAGCTCTTTTATGTCTCTATACTCATATTCTAGCAAATGTCTGGAGTAGAATACATATAATAGATGTGGAAGAATGAGGGCTGGCAGTGAAAATCAGATCAAAGAGTGTGGGACAATCACACACATATTTCTGAGCCAGAACAGGAAAACTTTCTCATAAGATACCCTGGTTGTATTTTATTTCTGACACCTTGAAAGACAGAAAACACTCAGGCACACACCATCACCAAGATAAATTAGGAGTTTGTCATAGTAAGCTGCTAAGAATAATACTACATAGTCTCAAAATGCACTAATAGTCCAATTTGGGGCATATGACACTGGTATATAATATCCTCGTCACTCCCTTCCCAGGCTCAGTGTTGATTTTGAAGTCTATGTTCTGAAAAATCTAGGGAAAAAAATCAGTCTTATATTTCTTTCTGCCAATCAGCTAGTATTACCACATTTTAGAAGTTAAGTGAAGGGGCACCTGGGTAGCTCACTCAGTTAGGTACAAGAGGCGGAACAAATTTGAAGCATATAAATGACCTGACTGAAGACTTACTATAAAGCTATAATATTCAACATGGTATGATATTGGCATAAGAATAGACAAATAGATCAAAGAAGAAGAATAGAGAATTCAAAAATAAATCTAGTGCAAATTGATTTTGAACAAACCCTTAGATGGCAAAGGAAAGCCTTTTCAACAAACTCTCTTGCAACAATTGGGAAAGCATATGGGGGAAAAAATGAACCCAACTTTACACCTTGCATAAAAATTCATTTGAGATGGACTACAGATCCAAATGTAAAAGGTAAAACTATAAACTCACAGAACAAAACATAGCCTCTGGATCTTAGGGTAAGAAAAGATTTCTTAGAATGCAGAAAGCACTAATCATATAAGAAAAAACTGATGAGTTGGACTACACCAAAATTAAAATCTTCTCTTCAAAAAAGTTAACCAAAAAGACTAAGTACTGAGAAGAAATATGTATATGTATAAAAAATATATATCTGTGGGGCGCTTGGGTGGCTTAGTCGGTTAAGCGTCCGACTTTCGCTTAGGTCATGATCTCACGGTTCGTGGGTTCGAGCCCCGTGTCGGGCTCTGTGCTGACTGCCTGTTTCAGAGTCTGTGACTCCCTCTCTCTCTGACCCTCCCCTGCTCATGCTGTCTCTCTCTCTCCTAGAAATAAATAAAACATTTAAAATATATGTATATCTGACAAAAGAATTATATTCAAAATA